TAAAATGTGTAGGTTCGAATCATCCGTTTCGAGGTGGGATATATCATATATCGATTATCATCGCTTCTCGGAAATACATCTAATTTTCAACGCGATAGTATCGTGCTTTGAAATTACAGATCACGGTGTCCTCTGATACCGTAGGATACGGTATGATACACGATACGTCAGTGGCACAGAAATCCCGAAAACCGAACACCGAATACCGAATACCGAATACCAATTAACAAGGGATCCTGATTTCCACGCAAAGCAATCCTATTTGATTATTCCTTGTTCTTCTTTGTATATATGTATGTATGTATGTATGTATGTATGTATGTATGTATGTATGTATGTATGTAGATACGAAAAATCCGAGAAACGAAAAATGCTAGCGGTTCAAAGATCACGACTTTCAAGGGCTTTTCGAAACGTTTTATACGTCCATTAAACACGATTAAACTCGATGAAATTCGTATCGATCGTGTTTCAACGCGCGATATCTATCGACAGTTTTATCGACGAGCTAACGTCTTTACGGAAAATTGTGGTAAAAACTTGTGTATGCGTGTCCTTGTACAGGTATGGTAGTCGTGGTTGTTATTTAAAAGCTTCTAAATTGAAGAGCTATGCGCGTACCTGTATACATATATATATATACATATATGTACATGCATATGTAGCTATGTAGGTATGTATGCATGAAGCATGCACGTACGTCGCGAGGAGACGTATAAAAGCGCAACGTTCAATGGCTTATCCACGTTATTAGTTAGCTGAACTTTGTAGAACCTGTACCAGACGGAGTTAGTAAAAGTACCGAGAGGAGCGTAATCACGCGTGGAAACGTTAAAAAGCTAGGAACCACGGATGCAAACTTCGAAGCTCGTTCCAAGTAATTACTCTGGTAATCGTTCGAGCCTCGGAGAAGGAAGGTGGCAAAGTAATCGTGTACTCGGTCACTAGATGCTACACCGAGACACGATTTAACAAACACCGAAGCAGCAATCAACCTCGACGACGCTCCACGCGGACGACTTTGCAATTTACCGCGCAATTTCTCGTTTACTCGATTAGCTTGGTTACCATTTCCATTACCAGAGTCCATTTTCTTACGACGACGTTGCTAACCCTACGACGGAGTCTCGTTTCGGCCAGTTTTCCGCGGTGAAACAGAAACATTCGGAAGCAAACACAACGATCGTTGTTGCGAGGACCGACGATTGGTGGTGCATCGTCATCTATGTAGCTATTATACATTGCCTACGCTTGGACGTAGGTACGATTCTTTCTAAAGCGTATACGTCTACCCTATCCTATCCTGCTACTTTGCAGCATCCCCTACGCGATACGGGATTTTGATTGAAAAAAGGAAAATAAGCTTTTCCGCATTCGCACAAGACTTAACACGTGTTTATTCCCTTCTCCGCCTCGAGCTGTACAGCATACGGTCATCGTCGTGATCGGATCTGATTAGGACACCAAGTCGGACTAGTAAATTTCTGGACATACGTGATGTTATAAGAAAATCCAGTCCGCGGATTCCCTTTCACAGAACAGCTAATATTCGAACAATTCTTATAAAGCGCGAGCGGTGGTCCTTTGCGGCCGCGTGGAGGATATACAAATAATTTCTGCAAATTAACTTTATCGTTGTTGTTGTCGTTTGATTCATCTTTTACGCTCATGTTTTTCGAATTGATCGATTCGCTCCTCGAGGCTGCCATCTGAACCACCACCGGCGTTGGCGACGACGTCCGAGGACTGAGACACAACACGTGGTCGTTGTTGCAACGGCAACAATACCGAACGCGACCATTATTTCGACCGATTACGATTCGTCGAGTAGCGGCGACGAATTCGGTCAGGTGAGATTTCGAGGACGAGCTTTTTTCTTCCTTTCTTGATCGATCAGCGTCTATTCCTTTCGTGAACAACCAACCTCGACAACCGACGACCTTGTTCGTTCGAAACTCTGTTGCTGCTTCTCGGCTATTTCTCGATACATCGGTGATGTATCTGCAGGTAGTTTCTCCAGGATGTCCAGACAATTTTCGGCATGGTTCGATATACCGGAACTCGCGATTCTTCCTGAAAGTTTTCGAAACCTCCTGATGATCGGTGGTGACGCAATCGTGTCCGAATGAATTCACCTTGGGGGAACGTTTGAAATTTTGTACGATAGTTTCGGTGCCCTGTTCACTTTAATTCTATTTACTTTTCCGTTTTTTAACCACGACGAGGATGACGACGAGGATGACGACGAGGATGACGAACCTGCGAATCTCTCGCAATCGGAATCGGTAATGTCGGTAATATAGTTTCTCGTATTCTCTTCTTGATCCTCGTTGTTGGCATCTTGTCGAAACGCTCTCTCGAGTTTCTTGAAATAATTCAACACGTCGTTTCTCTTCAACACTTTTCCTGCATGGTTCGCCTCTGTCCGATCCACCTGTCTGTTCGCACGTATAATTTCATCCACGATCTCTGTCCCGTTCATGTCACGTTAACCAAACAAACCCCTGTCAGGTTAGTTGAAAATTGCGACGACAACGATCGAGAATCAATCGAGATTATTTTCGACAGTTTGGCCGTTTTCGATTATTCAACTTTCTACGATAAATAATGTTGTTGTCGTCGATGGTAGATCAGCAACGCGCGCGTTTGCCTATTAAAATTTTGAACGAGGTTATCGTTCCGTACGATTCGTTTGGTCGACGAGCAACCGCGACAATCTAATATGCACGAGCATATTAAATCGTTATGAAATGTAAGCAACGTACTCGCAAGACGGAAAAATCTCTGCCTACGTAGTAGGTACGTAGTAGGCGAGCGAGTACTATCATGTACGTATATACGTATATGTGCAGTGCAGATATGTACATAGAATAGGTACCTGTACCTCATCTGTGTTCGTTGCATCCGAATATTCACCAATAATCACTCCACCTTGTTGCGTAGTTTTCCGATAAAATATGCCCGATGTTCATCCGGGAGATTGTTTCATCGACGACACCATCGAGAGGATTAACGATCTCAAAGAAGATATACAAAGATTCATCGAAACTCGTTCGGCCGAAGTTGCGACGATCCTCGTCGTTTGCGGTATATTTTATTGGATTCGACGATACGTTACCACGTAAAGGTGCCACGAGTATTTTTGCCAACAACCACAAGAGACGAGGATACGAATTAACATCGACGAAAGAAATATTATACCTACGCCCCACGTGCGCATTTCTATTCTACTATCCGACAGTAACACCGAGGGTAATCGTGGATAGCAAGAGAAACGGGAAACCAGCAATTTCTCGAGTTTACCGTTTCGTTCTACAACTATGTACTTATAATAGTTCGATATAATCGATACTTCGAAAGGTCGTTGAAAATACAGATTTCCCGTTGAAAATTGTCTGTCGAAAGTCCAATTAGTGAAATTTTATGTTACCGAAGCGAATTTTATTAATACTTATTATACATTTCTCGTTACGTATCGTCGCCCGAGTTGTAGCAGAAAATTAAACGTTACCCGACGAATGGAACGAGCAATCCGTTTTCGTATGTTTCTATCCCCGAGCCAGAAACCAACCGAAACAACGTATGCAGATACATATTACCGATTGAACGCGTCTACGCGTGACATATGCAGAAATGAATTATTATACAATGACGATACGCGTACGTATACGTGCTTAAAGTTGACGGTACAAATGAAGGAAAAGGAAAAGG